CAACACGACTGGGCGTCGCCAGAAATCTAACTTTGAAGGCTGATTTCGAGGTGAAAAAAATTCGAAATCGAAAAGTTTTTTTTGGAATATTTATTTATATCATCTAGAGATGCCAAAACCGTAAAAAAATTCTAGACCTGATATACACTTTAAAGTTTTGCTAAAAGTTTTGCTAAAAGTTTTGCGTGAATTTGTCACGCAAACTGCAAGTTTCTGTTTGTTTGTTTTTTATTGAATTATTGCATTATATACAAATAAGTTACTCTGTACACAAGTTGGTATATGCTAAACCAATTATTCGCCTCAGGCTCAGTGAATATCGGGGAATATTTACCTCGCCGCTCGAAGTAGCGTCTCAGTAAATATTAGGCAGATTAAGATTCCCGTTTTTCCTTCCCGCAAACGGCAAACGTGACCACGTTTTCATCGTTTCCCTACATTTCACTTTACCTTTTGCAAACCTTCTCGACAAAGACAAATATTCTTTTGTTTATCTACTACTTAGAGATTTTTGCGATTCCTTTTCACTAATTTTAAAGAATTTTCTAATGGTCAACTGACGTTTCGCGTTTGCCGTAAAAGAGAATCTTAACTCTCTATTACCCGATATTCACTTCGCCTTCGGCGAATAATTGCTAAATAATAGCGGATTCCTCAGACTAAAGGCCTTTGCTTTACAATGAAATTCAAACCACACAAACCAACAAATTATCCAGCAATGAATAAAGCAACGGAATGATTAATTTATTTGAGTTTCATTTCGGTGTTATTTAAGGTTTTAGAAAAGGTCCACCAGGTTATTTGTCCGTTAAGATCTGAAATACTGCACCATCGATACCACCAACCACCAATCTCTGCACAATTCCCATCCGTCCTATCATCGTTATCCTTGTCAGGTGTACTAAAATTGCTCTTATTGTTAATCCAGCCTGAATTTTCCTCAGCAGTTGTAATAGAGTCTCCAGCAGTACCAGAGTATCCATTGACATTCAGGCGGTAAAAATCACTCTCATCAGCGATAGAGAACGATGAATACACAGCATGTTTCTTGGTCCCAACCCAGTCCTCCAGATCAATACGTAATGATGCAACTTGCGTTTTGGTCAGTCGGTAAATCTTGTCGAGGCCCAACCAAAACTCGCCAGTCATGTTACCGAAACCGGTCTTATATTCCTGCCATTGACGTTTGAAAGACGTGAGGGAGTCATTTCGATTCCTTTGGAACACAGTCCACCCACCGCCATCGGTCGTCATGTCACAGTAGACTTGGAAAGAGCCTTGTCCATCAGGATCGATTCGATAGATTCCATCTTTAGTATTGCCAGCTGAGAACAGCTCTGAACAATTGACAAAAACTGTGGAAAAAAAGTTGAGTTGAGGTATTAATGCATAAAGCAAGTGACCGTCAAATAATATGGTCATCAAAACTCCCACTTGATATGTATGAAGCAATTTTTAAAAAAGTTGGTGAAGGTGGTCCATCAGGGAATGGACATACAGGGGCGGCGGAAGCTAAAAATCTTTGCGCGGGGGGGCACTGCAAAAATATTTGGGGAGGGGCACTGAAGATTATATTTAACGCTATGTGATAATGACAATGTTTTGTTTGATTGCAGACGTATGTGCCGTAAAACAATGACTAAGGACCAATATTTGGGGGAGGGGGACGTGCCCCCCCCGGGCTCCCCGGTTCCGCCGCCCCTGACATAGCAATATGAAGTTTTCCTAAACTTTGTCTGCACGTTTTTCCGGTATATTTTTTCTTTACTGATATATATTGTTATACATATTAATATAATTCATAAAAGARATGTCGTGAGCATGCCGCAAGACATGCAAAAAAATCTTTACTTAACTTGACTCTTGAAATAGCTGTAAACATAAGATAATTGATGCGAACCTTTACTACAATTTGGACCTTCGTGACCAGGTCGGCAAGAACAGCTCCAACTTTCTTCTTTATAATTCGGCTTGCATACTTCGTTATCACTACATGGATTCTTTTCACAAGGGTTCTGCCAAGTAACAAGCCAAAACTAATTAAGAGATTCATATAACGATTACAATTTAGAGGCAAAGAAATAACTTTTTCTCTGTTAATTTTTCACAATAAACCCTTATCAAGTGGCGAAAACATTTATTTCTGAAATATTAGTTTTACCTTTCTTTTAACGTAGATATGGCCAGGAGAATTAACAAGATCATGTTCGGTTTCATCTGAGTCACTAAGCTCACAGGACCCATTGCTTGGTTGATAGTTGTATGACTTGCAAGACTCTTGTAGATAACACATGATGCGACACAAGGACGCAGTTTCGGTTGTCATGGCATCAATGACGTGATGTTTGAGGTACTTGCCCTTCTTCTCAGGATGGAAGCCAGTATCCTCGCAGCTGTTACCTTTAACCATAAGGGTAAAAAGAAGTTTATTTTAAAAAATGAATAAAGAAAAGAAAAGTAAGCAAGTTAGGAAGGAAGGACAGAAGAGGGAAAGGAAGAAAATGAAATAAATATATTCATATCAACGATATTCATATTACGATGTTTAAATATTAATGGTCTTCTATACACCTAATTCGTTGTCATCGCCAAAGGCAATAGGCAATAGGCGATAGGCGAAAAGCAATAGGATATATGTCATTCCAAGATCCAAGAATAGCTGGAATGACTTGTGTTTCCTCTTCTTCTTCTCGTCAAGAATATGGACCTTCGTGATGTTCTTTGTATTAAACGAAACCATTTCCATGTCGGAATGACCTATCGTCTATTGCCTTTGACGATGACAACGTATTTTGAATTAGGTGTATACAGATGAGCAATGTGAAAAGCGAAGAATACTAATAAATGTAAATGTTTTTGCATATTTWAAAAAAAATGAAAAACAAATAAAATGAAGCACGCATACACATGAATTTAAGAAATTTATTTCACCTAGTTTCGAAATAAACGCCAAAAATATATCTATAATTAAAAAATTTTCATTAAGAATGCTTAATCTTGTCGGCATCCCAATGTGTGTTTTAGTTCATCATGGTGTTTACAACGGACTTCACATTAACATTTTCTTAAATGAAAAGCCGCAAAAAAACAAAGCACGCCGAAATGAGAATTAATAAATGTTTTAGAGTTATTTTGGGCAAACAATATCCAATCCTATATATCCCTAAAACGCACACATTTATAGCTGGAAATTTGGGTATTTTTATAAAATTGTTAACTTTATGGTTTTTGTGATGATGTGGTCGTGGGTTGAAATCCCGGGACTCACCATCTCATATACAGGAGTAGAATTGAGTTGTTTAATTTTTGGTTCTTTCCTGTGCTCCGAGTGTTTTTCTCCAGGTTCACCGGTTTTCCTTTTTCCGGAAAAATGAACTTCAAAATTCCATGCAATTCGATATTAGGATGTGGATAACAAGTACTTTGCTAGTCATTGGCGAATAAGTGCTAGTTACTCTCACTCGTAAAACAATTGCAACGACGAGTAATTTATTTATTTTTSGCTGTCACTTGCCACGAAAAAGTAAGGTGAAAAGACGTTTATTAGAGAGTTTTAGATTGACTTTTTTTCTCCCCGCAAACGGCAAACGTGACCATGTTTTCATAGTTTTCCTGTATTTTACTTTACCTTTTACAAACCTTTTCACCAAGCGCAAATACTCTTTTGTTTTTCTACTACTTGGACTTTTTTTGCGATTCTTTTTCAGTAATTTAAAAGAATTTTTTACTGGTCAACTGACGTTTCACGTTTGCCGTGAACCTAAATCTAAAACTCTCTATTACGTACAACTCACTGCAGTGAAAGTAACAAAACCATTGAGTAGCATTGACCAAGTTGTTGATAACTTACCTGAGACAAGATGATTAACCAAGAAAACCACAAAGAATGACCCAAAAATAGTGAAATTTCGACTCTTTTCTGACAACATGGTGTTCATGTTTCGTTGAGTCGAACGGTATACCAAATGAAGCCCGGCCGAATAATTAATGTACTTGGCAATTAACTATGAGAGGTGTCGTTAATAATGCATGGGTTTCAATAGGCAAATAACAATTAATCCAATATTCCCGAGTAAAGTATGCTCTGGCTATTAAAACGGAATGATATGTTTAAGTTTTTATCACGCAATTCCAAAAGTCACAGGACAAAAAAATAATCACCATAGCTGGAAAAAGCATTAAAAATTAGTAAACCTGTGAAGTTTGAAGGAAATAAGTTCAAAAATCATTTWAAAAAATTATTTTCAAAAATCGAAATTTTGTATCGGAAAACTTGGAGTTTAACTAAACACGTTTCGGTGTGAATGGGGTATATGTTTTCATTAGGAAAAATTTGAGAAACTAGAAACCTACAATATAATGAAACTTTCTAAAATATTGTCAGAGCAAGACAAAGGACAGTTTACATGCATTATTTCACCAAATATTGTGCAGTGTTGGTAGATAGTTTTCCGAACCTGTTTAGTTAAACCACTTTAAAACATGTTTAAGCCTTGGTGTGCATGGGGTATAAGAATCATGGTCGTATAACGGGGTACAAAACAGCAACAACACATAGAAAACTAGAATAAATCGGATTTTTTTAAAAAACTCATAGAACCTCTTTGTCCATATCAAGATAAAGAAGTCAATTTGCTTAAGAAATTGAAACTGTTGTTGCATCGTAAACTTTTCGGTTGAAACTTGAAACCGGACAAAATATTCAGTTGCACGAGTACAGGGGGAGAGTGTATTTCTAACAGGGTATTTTTAATAAACCCTAAGCGCCACAAAAGAAAGTGCTTTAGTACGACAGGAAGACTATACATCGAGCCTGTAATACCCGCTGACTACCTGCTGCAATGAGTTATTTCTAATTAAAATTTTGTCGAACAGTACAGTTTAGATAAATAAGAGAAACAACGCCAGAAGGTTTGACAATGGTAACTTTTATTTATCATGGCATGGATATGGAAATAAAACCAAACAATGAATTAATAAACAGTTGAAAAATATCCTTAATTAAGTGCAATTGATTATAATTTGCCGATTCTATTCTTTGTAAATTGGATATTATAGGACCTGTCAAAGTTGCCCTTCACGGACTTTATCTAAAAGGTGCTCCAGGTAGCGTGTGCACGTATAATRCTCCTAAAAGGGAGGAGAGACTATAAATAACTTATTTATTTTTTCCCCGTAATTTTTACTTGTTTTTGTATTCGTTTTGTTTTGTTGTTTAGCGGCAAAGGATACCGGACCGCGAGCGCAGCCAATCAGAACGCACGATTTTTTAGGATACCGGAACGGCAAAAAAAAAACAAGAAATTTTCTTTTAGTCAAGATAGACATGAAGACTGGAAGCCGCCTACCCTCAAGAAATCAACCAATCAGGCTCTTCGCTCAAAATATCTCCAAGCTAAAAATAGCATCAAACTGTGCACATGATGGTTACAAGGCTATATAGGTAGGATTCCTTCTCTTAGTTCATATTCTCTTGATCAGAAAGCATTCAGATGGTGAAATATTGTGTCTTCTAAAGATGAGTAACCAAATTAATGTTGGATAGATCTAAGACATGTCTTAGTAACATCCATAGAATTCCACCCGTAAAGTAATAGCACCGTGCCATGTTTTAGGATAGATACGGATGTATCTGGTGGTGATCTTTGGATCCAGAGTGTTGGTGACGGTACCATAATAATTGGTGTTACCAGGAAGTGTCTGGAAACAAAAAAAGTTGGAGATCTAAATACCCCTACTTTCAAGGCTCGGCCCTAAGGTGCACCTTCTATCATCACCTCGTATATAGTGCAGTTTTCGTATGACCGTGAAAAGTTCACGGAATGAACACGGTCGTGACACAGCAAGGGATACGCCAGACCAATCACATTGCACGAGAATTTACTCTCCATCCAATCAAATACACGGCATAAACACGGCGCGGACACGGTCGCGCCAAGATCAAGGCAACGCAAGACCAATCATATTGCGCGTGAAAAATATCAGCCAGTTAAAATKTTAGAAAGCATCACGGTCACGGCACGTCACTGAGCTTTTTATAGTCATACGAAAACTGCTCTATCAAGTGATGTCACACGTAGCAATTTTTTTCTTCAACACTAAGAATTAAGGAACGCTACCCACTACACAAAAGACCTTTCCCGAATTTGATTAAGTGACCACGAAACAATGGTTTAAATTCGACGTTGAACTTGATAAATACGTTCAGCTAATGTATAAACATATTGATAGGTCCAACCTCGAATTGGTCCTCCAGAGATAAGGCTCATAACTATTGTTAATAGTTAATAGTTAATAGTTATGTTGTTAGAGTGGTTTCGGACAATCCGCGAGATTCTTGGTTTTCACAGACGTCATCATGAATTATAAAAAACCTTAATTTCGCATTATAATAAGGTCTAATAAAATAAAAGCTAACAAGAAGTCATTAAAAAGTAAAGTTTGTATTACGTGCGCGGGTTGAGTAAAATCACTTTCACTGTTACAGGCGTTACTTACTCCACCAAGAGATGTCTTGAAATCTTGAAATCTTGAAATCTAATGATTAATGTAGTAAGAAAAGCTAAGTAAACTTACCTCGATGCTTAAATAAGCAAAGTTGTCATCTCGTATAAGTGAATGATCAAGCTTTTCAATGGACAACAGCTCACAGTCATGGAGACCACTTCTTTCAGAGACAATCTTGTAGTTTACCGAACGACACCAAGTAAAACCAACACAAGCAAACACACAATCCATCTGTTCTTGAACCTGGATTGTTTTACTTGTTAGACTATTTAAGTCGACAGAAAAAGCGAGCTTATGGCCAGCAAGTCTATCAAAGAATAACTCATCATTATGACGGTCATCTTGCATTGTACTCATGCCACTGTGCACAATTTTTAACAGAAAGAAAAAAGATAGAAACATAGAGCTCATGTTTCTCTACAGCCGAAGGAAGAGGATCAGTTCTGAAAATGGTTGTTTCTGGAGTTGTGTTTGTTATCTATATTAAGTGTTGTAAGGTAAGGAATTAATAATCATGTCACTTTTGATTTTTCCCTGTTAATTACCTTGATTATCTCACACACCCTACAAATTGGTCATATTCTAATCAAAAAAATACTTGGTTAAGTTTTTTATTTTTATTTAACTTTGTCAAATAATAGAGGCATACCATATATGGCCGTGAAAAACTTTTGAAGAAATTGCTGCCATTGTTTAAGTGCAGACCTCATTCACACCGCAGACCTACAAAACGTTGCACTAATTAGCACAATTTTTTTACTTTTAAAATTTTCACGGATAATTACATGGTATGCACTCTAGTTGTATGTTCGCCTCGCGCTTTCTTACTATAAAATGATACGAACGTTGTTATTTTTTTTTAAAAGAACATGAAATTATTTCGATTTATATTAAGGAGGCTCTGGGTAGTTTTGGGCTGGCACACCTAGCCGCATTGAAACGGCTACAACTGATCGTCTTGAATAACTCGATCTGCAAGTGCTTTTCACACAATGTCAGGAAAGGATTAAAGGTTTCAAAAATGATAAATTAGTTTAAAGCGGCATTTTCATTATGACGTAATGATGACATCATAGAAATCGTTTACCGCTTATTTTCTCGAAAACTAGACCTAAACTTTCAAAGCGACTTGCACCAGTCGATAGTATTCATCAAGGCACCCAACATATTGCAATATGAAAAAAATGTATGAGAGCGTTTTCAAATTATTACGCGATGAATATTTTCATGGACTTTTACTATTATTTCCAGCGTGTCAACTTCATACCCTCAAAATCGGGACTTTAATTTACGTGGATTCAATTTTTTTAGTAGCTAGAATATAGATACGGATATAGACACTGTCCTTATTGAGTATGAATCAAATTGTGACTTCTAACGTTATGGATTTTTTGATATGAAGCTAGATGACCCCATTTGTTGTCGAAAGCGATAGAAAATATCGATGAAAGTGGCATTCAAAAAATCGTCGAACGATTTTTTTCTAAATATGGAAAGTGTTCGTGTGTTCGTAGTGTTCGTAGTGTATGGGAAGGGGGATATGTAGGTCCCTGCGATGTATGCATGCTGTCCATGTACAGGTGTCTACTGTCCATAGACAGTGTTCGTGTGTTCGTAGTGTTCGTAGTGTATGGGAAGGGGGATATGTAGGTCCCTGGGATGTATGCATGCTGTCCATGTACAGGCACCCCTGTTTTAATAAAACTCGCGTTGCTGTTGGTGTTGTCATGAAATATATAATAATAATAAATTACGATCTCATAGACATTTACATATGCAGACTTATAAAGAGAATACATACATTATATGAACATATGTATACATATGTACAGCATATGATATACAGTTATACGGAATGTACATCACATAATACAGTTATACGGAATGTACATGATATGATATACACTATACGGACATAAGTGTACATGTATAGGAGAAACACCCCTAATTCAGGACATGATACATAGAGAAAGAGCCGGTTCAATCGTACGTAACGAACTACTGTATCCTATACCTGCCTCATGCCCGCTTACGTAAGCGTACGCGTCGGTTAATAAGTTAATAAATGAATCCAAATCCCCTGAATAATCAAGAATTCCAAAAAAAACACCAATATAACGGAGTATAAGGTTAGTTGACCTTGAGTTTGTTCTAAAGGTCAATTCAGTTGGTTTTAATGATAGATGAATACAATATGTTGTCAAAACGACGCTTCGCTTTTAAAGCATTTATCAGATTGGTATCCATAGTCCCATTAACAGTGCCATTAGCGCCATCTTGAAAGGTAACCGTGCCTGTGCATCGTAGCGAGAACGGCGGTGACTTTGCAATGATAGAGACCTTTTTTAACACCTTGAACAATATTCACGTCTCTATTTATATGGGACTATTTTACTTCTGTCTTCAAATTGAAGTGGTATATTTAAGACAGGTAACATCCATAGAATTCCACCCGTATAGTAATAGCATGGTACCATGTTTTAGGATAGATAAGGATGTATCTGGTGGTGATCTTTGGATCCAGAGTGTTGGTGACGGTACCATAATAATTGGTGTTACCAGGAAGTGTCTGGAAACAAAAAAAGTTGGAGATCTAAATACCCCTACTTTCAAGGCTCGGCCCTAAGGTGCACCTTCTAWYATCACCTCGTATATATCAAGTGATGTCACACGTAGCAATTTCTTTCTTCAACACTAAGAAATTAAGGAACGCTACCCACTACACAAAAGACCTTTACCGAATTTGATTGAGTGACCACGAAACAATGGTTTAAATTCGACGTTGAACTTGATAAATACGTTCAGCTAATGTACAAACATATTGATAGGTCCAACCTCGAATTGGGCCTCTAGAGATGAGGCTCATAACTATTGTTAATAGTTAATAGTTATGTTGTTAGAGTGGTTTCGGACAATCCGTGAAATTCTTGGTTTTCACAGACGTCATCATGAATTTTAAAACCTTAATTTCGCATTATAATAAGTTCTTAATAAAATAAAAGCTAACAAGAGTTTGTATTATGTGCGCGGGTTGAGTAAAATCACTTTCACTGTTACAGGCGTTACTTACTCCACCAAGAGATGTATGGACGTAGCTTTTCCAGCTTTCATCCTCTCGTCGATAAGACAGCGAGTAACTAGTCATGTACGACGCCTGTAAAAATGGTCTTCCTTGTGTAGCGACTTTGGTTACGAGTGTCAGCCTGCCAAAGTCTACCTGCAGCCATTCCCCGACTCGATTGGAAGATGGTGCCCAGTGACCTGGATTATTGTTCAATCTGGCCTTGTATCCTGTATCTTTACCACCCCACGCACTGGAGGCTGTTATTGAAGAATCTGGTATTGTTCTGCTTTCCATTCCGAGTGCTTGTTCGGTGCATGCTAAAAAGAGGGTGCCAATAGAGTTAGTTATTAACTGACAATTGGCCAAAAAAAAAGTAGTTAACTGACAAATAATCTAAAATTAAAAGTTGACAGTTAAAAGTGTATATGACACGAAATCATTACATTAAAAATGTATAGTTTGTTAGTAATGATAAATATATCGTAATAAAATTTGTTTCGAAAGCTTATTTCTTGAGATACGTGAGAAAATTAAGCCCAATTTGTGACGTTATTTTGTTGACACGTACTCTGGATTCGGTAGTAATGCACATAATATGAATTGTAATTCCGTATAAAATAACAACAAAAGGAATATTTTATTCAGCTTCATTTGATAGCTTACGTAGTACTCTTCCAATATTGGGAAACTGAAAAGTGTACTACCTGAAATTAAGATTCTACATTCAAACATATTTCGTGTATTTGCAAACTAAATCTGGAATATTGTAAACAAAATGACGTCACAACTTGTGCTAAATTTTCTTGAATTTCTAGAGAAATACGTTTTTGGAACAAATTTAACCGTGATATTCTTATTAATGCCAATAAAATACACATTTTCAACATCAAAATTTTTCGTCAGGTTATATCAGATATTACATATGTTTTGGTTAATATTATGGCCAGTGCTCTTAAAATTATTACATGTACAGTTAACTGACATTCGCCCTAAAAATTAGTAGCTTAAAAATAGACATTTGGGTACTCCCATTATTGGCACCCTGAAAGATCATTAAAACCTTCCAATTTTATTCCCAAGCTCTCTGCACGCATGTTGTGACCACTCTGATCAGTTAAGCAAATGCTTGAGGAAAATGGCATGCTAGGGTCACCAAAAAAAAGGTTTCTTATTTCTTTCGGTTTTTTTCCTTCTCTTTTCAGGTTTTTTAACAACCTTCAAAACTCAAAATGTTATTGCAATCGATATGTGTGGCCGCGTGCGCACGCACCATGTTACATGAGGCCAAAAATTAAAATCGCCAAAATATTGGCGTGTAACAGCATCATAAAGCATGCGAGAATTGTAAATTGGGAATTGCTTGGAGAAGCACAGCACGCCTGCAGATTTGTGTACAAAAAAAAACAACAAACAAAACAATGAAGAACCGAAACGAAAAACAAAAACAACGAAAAAACGAAACGTAACGAAACAAAACAAAAAACCTTTACTATTTTTTGCTTTTTTTTGTGATACAGATTTTATTTTCTCGTGTTGAGAATATCACCTCTCAACACTCGATGATAAAATCCGTATCTCCGCACGGCCATTTAATATCCTATACATACCTTCCTTTTCATCAAGTCCAGAAAAAGCGGTATTTTACTAATTGATTTTTTATTCATTTTTGCTTTTTCCGTGACTATGGAACAAGTAAAGGGCGAACTATTAAAGTTTGGATAATCATTRCACTTCCTGAAAACAGGACTGCACGAAGATATATTCCTTTTTGCACGTTATGATTGGACCAATTTCAATTTCGCTTACAGTTTTTTGGTCCAAAGTAAATTAGTATTGACAGCTGCGTATCGTTGTAAGCAAAGACTTACAAATTAAAAATGCTAGGAAAATTTCAAACACTGAATCTTTATTTATTAATTAATTTTGATTGGTGTAGCTAGCTACTTGGTAATTAAGGATATTTTTCGACATTAAACTACCACCGAGTCCAATCCTGACATAGAGGATAATCATGTTTCGTGATATCGTTGCACATTTTATCATTTTATCGTAATTAGTTTGGGACCGAATCTTATGACGGCTGCGGTGGAGCGAGACTATCTTAAATCCGGCTAAGGAAAGAATCACGAATCATATTTTTAATTTGTCCAGAATGTGTAAGCGAGTTCCAAGTAAACTAAAACGATTAAAAAATTGGCGACTTTACAACAAAACTACATACAATAAGAAAGTGTGAAAGAACTAAAAAAATTTAACGGAACACACAGAAATTATAGACAGATTTATTCTTACCTTTTTGGCAAATGCTACCGGAAAATCCGTTGATACATCTGCACTCGAAACCCCCTCTATCATACACCTTGATACAAGTGCCTTCATTCAGACAAGGTAATTTCTGGCATGGAGGGTTTAGTATCTGAAAAGCAATATAGATTTTTATTCTATTTATATTTTATTGGGTTGATTAAAAAAAATATTTTTGAATGAGAGTTGACATGCGGGTTAATGGTATAGCCCGCGTGCATCGAACACAAACTGTTGGTTAGGTTAATGGCAGTTACAGTAAATTTACCTTGATGCTCAAATGAACGAACTTCTCATTCCTCTCTAAATATTTTAAATTGGCCTCTTCATCGGTTGAGAAAAGCTCGCACAAGTGAAGACCATTGCTTTGTTTCTCAGAGACAAGGCCAAAGTTAGCAGAGTTGCACCATTTTTCTTTGGTACACCGTAAAGCGCATTCGAGATCGTTGGCGACAAATTCTGTCCCGTGTTTAACATTTCTGTCCGATGGAACAGATAAAATGTAACCGGATTGTGTTTCGAAAATAAACTCTTTAGTGTCTTCACCTTGAACTTTGTTCAACAACAGAATGGATATCAAGACGTGGTTAACCCAAAGCATGGCAAAAATTACGAATTATAACATCAGAAAAGGTGTCACTGTACTTGAAGTGGTATGAGGTTGTTTGTATAAGCAGAAATATAGTGATTTATACGCGTGTAGGAGGTTTTGTTGCAGCTATAACTGCATGACACTTTTGTCCATAATCGACAGCTGTGTTTGTGTTAGGCGCCTTTCGCAAGCATCCGGGTGTTATTGAAAACGGAACTCTTCTCTCACATTTTCAACAAAATTCTCATCCACACGCAGCGTTTTCGAATCGCTATCGCCCGTCCACACGCCAACACTGAAAATGAGATTTTTAAAAGGTTTTCATTAAAGAAAACAAATTAGGATTTGTGTATGAGAATATATATATATATTTGTACTGCGGTTGTAATGTATCAAATTGAGCTGATCCTCGCAGTATATCAAGCAATTTATGCAGCTGCAAATTGAAAGAGTCAGAAACAATTCCGAGTCTTGAATGGGATTTGAACCCGTGACCTGGCGATTCCTGTGCCATGTCCTACTGAACCACTGAGYTACCAAGTCAAAATTAGTAATTGGACGCTGGAATTAAAGTGGTTTTTATAAAAGAATAAAAATAAACAAAAAAATGGATGGAAAGTAGGATTGACAATCTCTCTTCAGCACCCTAACTTGAATATATTCCTGGTCATTGTTTTTGTTTTCAATAGCATGCACTTCCGCTCTCGGTTGAAACTGCTAAGATAACCTCTTGATAACACCTAACTTGAAATTGTCAGACGATCGGATGATTTGTGCATGCTGTATAATACGCATTTTCTAGTTTGGGTACAAAACCTTTATCAGAAAGTCAAATAGTTGTGGAAATGTAGTATATGTTCTATAGCATAGTGAACATGGCATGACAGTGAATTACATCGTTGTTCAAGTTGTGTTTTGTGTTACCCCAAAACGTGGCGTTTTGCGTTTAAAGTGAGTTGTATACAGGACCACTGTTGTTGAAAAAAGTTTGAGTTCTTCACAGAACTACAGTTTGAGTATTTGATAAATGAAGATTTGCATGAAAAGAATATCGTGCAAGGACATGTTCTGTTAAAATATCCTGCAACTTGTGTAGCTAAAAAAAATAGAGCACTCCGAAAATACGTGCCCCACCACCCCATCAACAATCAATGGACCGTCCCTAAATGCACTTGCTTTAGGTATGAGGCTGCTAAGATAATTTGTTGATCTGGTTTCAGTTTGCAGTCCTAAGACACAGGCTGCATATTTAGGTTATATGTAATGGAGTTTTCATCTAAATGCACACTTCCTTTAGGTATGAAACTGCTAAGATTATTTGCCACTTATATCACTATGATTGCCTTATTCACTGTATTTAGGTCATGTGATATGGCATTTTTTTAATCATTGCATTGGATTCCATGCACTTTCTTTACTAGGTATGAAACTGCTAAGATCATTAGGCAACAATCTCAATATGATTGGCCATTCATTGCATTCAGGTCATGAGTCATGTTTATCATTGCATTGCGGGTTTCATGTACAGTTCCTTTAGGTATGAAACTGCTAAGATCATTTCAATCTCACTATGATTAGTCTCCCTCGCAACCGTTTTTAGTGTCGGTCGTCTTGCGTCATTGCATTCAGGTCATGTGATATTGATTTTATTATAAGCTCTTATCTGCATTTACTTTCCTTAGGTATGAAACCAGAGTATGAAACTGATATAACCTGTTGATCCTGTTTGACGGAGGTCATGTGACAATAAAACTAAATACGATTGGCTATTCACTGAACTGAAGCTCTTCTATATAAGTGCAGATACGCAAAGTAATAACTTGTTGCATCGACACCTTTAAACCACGTCAAAGCACCAATATCTTTTGTTCAGCAACTTTTTCTCAGCCTTTTGCTAATACGGTGAGTTTTTACTGTTTATCAGTTTATAGAATTATAAAAAACCCCGAGACAATACAGTCGCTATTTGGAATTTCAAACTCTATGGTTGAAAATTACCGATAACAAAATTCTCTGCACAAAGTATATTTCCGTGCTTTGTTTAGCAAGTTTGGAAATGACCCCTGTAACTAAGCTAGAGATCTGTAATATTCAATCTTACTCCAATATACTTTCGTGTATTTGTTTTGACTCCTCTCTAAAAATGAGAGGTAGAGAGGGGGAGAGATACAAAGAGGAAAAAAGAGATCTAGAGACGCAAATCCAGACAGACATAGAAGCTAAAGCGGCTGAGTACAACATTAGCGCTTGCTCGTTTCTATTCCTGTTTTCTCGCGTTCTTAAAGTAGCTGAGTGCTGCATCCATCTACTAGTAATTAGTTTTTAAAGTAGAACACTTTAAACTTCGTTACCTAAAAAAACATTGGCATCAAAAAGAGAGAGTGGAAAAAGAGATCCTTGCCAACACTCGAGGGAAAAGTGAATTCTTTTATGCGGAAATGTTGTTGCGTGCAGGAAGTCAAAGTGAGTTATGAAAGTGAAACTATTTGCAGATAATACATATGGGCTTCGAGTTATTTTTACCCGGGGTTCTCCGGTTTTTCCCGCCAGCGCAAAAGAAAACTTTTAAAATCCAATTTGATTTGACATCGTAAAGCTTTAACACGGCCCTCTGACTCGAACATATTTTCCCATTATTTATTCCCTTCAAATGGTGGTATTTCCCACTAGCGTGGGGAGGGTGGGGCAGTTCAGTTTCTTGATTGACGGTCGTTAAAACGCTAGTCGGCAACGAGCCATCGAACTTCGAGGGTCGTACTTCAACGATAATGGTAGTAAAAAAGAAAGCCGCGATAGGGCATTGCTTGCCCTTAGCTCATCTCATCTCAAGTAATTTTTCATTTCTATAGGAGTGAAAATGGCGCCAGTCAAATGTCTTTCTGTGATCTTGATGCTGAGTGTTGTTCTCTTAGTCTCCTTGCCAAAATCAGAAGGAGCTTGGCCGCGCTGGATCGGGAACTGTTGGGATACTTGGAGCCGTTGCACGCGATGGAGTTCAGGTGCTACCGGAGTTCTGTGGCAATCCTGCAGCCAAAGGTGCCGCTGCCTGGGACATGCTGGTGGGAACTGCAAGATCACGCATTCTAACTGCCCCTTTTCCAACAAGGCCTGGCAGTGTCAGTGTTATGGTCGCCGCTCTGGTCCCAAACCCAGTTGGTGCGGTTACTGAATACGTACCCAAGTCGCTTAGGATTTCTCAAAATGGATCATTACTCACACGGACTCTGGATTTGAAAACTAAAGTTTAGTTCAATCACAACTTGTGCTCTAAATGAGTAATTGAATAAATAAAGAAATAAACATGTTGAAAAGTAAATTAAAATAAAGAGATAATCAATATCGCTTTAGTGTACGTCATTTCCTTCTTGGAGACCTCAAGAGAAGTATTCTTAAAAGCCGCGGACCCTTTTAGAAAATGAGAAAATCGTCTTTTGACAAGTGAAATGAAATGTTCATTTTCAGACACTTAATAGCGCGTAATACTATATTTTTCACGATTCCCTCTCTCTTGACCCCAATTTGTCAGTGAATCAGTTTCGATTTATTCATTAGACACGACTTTTGAAAAGAGTGAATTAGTTCCAAATTAAGTTTTGAAAACTCGCTTGCTTTTGCTCAGAAAAGAACGAAAATATACCAGAAAATTCAAGCATACTATATAAAATTGACAAATTGTTACGCAATTTTGACTTCAGATAGAAATTTTCTAGGTGAAAAAAGAAACGAAACGAAACTTAACTGAAATGTTAATCACATACATATTTTAATCCAACGACTTTTGATTGAGTTAATTCGTGAGCACGAATATCGTTTCTATTTGTTCAGATAAAACGAAACTACATAATTAAATTATTAGTAAGTACCGTATTATATGCAAAATGACACAGACGATTGAAGGTTAATCCAAGACCAAAGTGGATCCGCATTAATATTTAACAATTTTTTGCGTGTGTATATATTATGTGCGAGTTGGTTTAAATGCGAATTAGTTTAAGGCATGCCATTCCTTAAGTTTCTTTATTTTATTTATTTATAAGCTTTTTTCCATGAGGGCAGGGACACCACAACAGATTTTTGCCAATTACAGTGGGCCCTGTAGAGTTTAGCACGGGCACCGAAGATGGTCGTAACCAGCATCTTCAGTGGGTCTTTTACGTCAGCTTTATACAGGGTTATATAGTGAAGACAGATGGGGCCTACGGTTTTAAGCCCTTGTCCGAAAAGACTTGCATTTCAGGTGTAATTACAAAGGCAGCACCTTCTCAGTTATTTTAAGACCCTGAGTTTAAATTTCTTTGAGCTTTACCCATACCATTTATGAGTTTGAGTGTACCATGGCATATCCCACAAATCACTCGTATTTTCACACAAATCTTTAGGTGAATATAAAATAAAACTAAAATTAAAGGGAGAAACTTTTAACTGAAATACAAGTATGAAACACACAATGATTTTCATTGGATCTTTAATGAGATATGCAAAATTTGGATCATTTACTTGGCCTTTTTGGCCTTGATCTTTTTTGAATAGAACTCCAGCTCTTTACCCTCTAAGATGTAACCATCACAACGGCCACTCTGACCAGGGCGAGAGGACACACAAGCTGAAATAAAAATAGAGGGAAAATGGGTTAATGAATATAATGAATAAGCAAATATGCATTAGTTCATCAGATTGGGGATTTTAGACTATTGATAAAAAAGTTAATTTTGTTAAATTCTGAAACAAATGCAAATTCTTGCTATAGCAAGTCAATAAACTAATAGTAGTGCCTACGTAGGAGACTAAGATCCAGGGTTGGGGCAGGAAGGTCCAGACCCCCACTGTCAGATGAATGTTTCGTTTGTTTTATCCTAAAATAAAATTTTGCCACAGGTTTGAAGTAAATTCTGTATGTAGTATACATTTGGACTCCATCAAAATGTTTTGGACCTGCACTACCGACTTCTTTGGTTGAAAAGGTCTTCAAATTTCTTGGGGTGCATATTAAACAATAGCTGTCATGTTGGTTGACAATGAAAAAGCATTCTTCATTAGCTTCTCTTGTTGCATAAACCAAAATGGCAGCTGTTTCATTGTTATTTACATCAAGGGATTTTGATTTATGTGGTTGCACCCAAAGAATATTGAGAACCATAAAAAACGTTTGTGAATTGAATTTGACTAGATATGCACTCCCATGATCACACTCTACCAATCCCTAACCAATCTATAAAAAAATGTTTTAAACACCTAACAGTAGTTACCTAGGAGACGTCCAGTGACAAACTGATCATCAAGTGTTGATGCTATCTTGGCTTGAGCCTTTCTGTTTTCAACCTTGCGCTGGCAGTGATTCGATCTTTTCTGGTTAAGCGCATCTGATTCTTCAGTTTCTGTAGTTTCCTTCTTTGAACTCTTCTTACGGCCTAGAGGTACGCCGTAGTGGGCTTCGTACCTTCAAGAAAATTGTCCATGTTCTAGATCCTTGTTTTTATTTATGACACATTTTAAGGTAAACTGCATGAAATGCCAATTCTTTAAACTCAAAATAAAACTCACAGATTAAATTAGATTTAGCTTGTTTGGTTTTTAGCAAGGAAGAAAACTGTAGAGCCCTGGCAAAACTCTTGAATCAAGGGAAAGGCCTAAAATGTAACTTTACTGACATGCAATACTGATTAGAAGAATCAAAACCAAGACCCTAGAGGTCAGAGATAAGTGCATAACCACTACTCCACCCTTCATGAAGTGCCTATGCAGTACAAATTAAAACTAAATATATCACAGTAAAAGAATATCACTAAACCTTACCATTGTCTGAATGGAGTACTGTCAATCTGAACAATGCAGTTCTTTACAAGAGTCTTGGTTCTCACAAGCTCATTGTTGCTTGCATTGTATACAACATCAATAATACGGGCCTTTCTGGTTACACCTGAATTGACAATTGACAATAACAAACTCATTACTAGACTAGTAAGCACAGGGCTAAAGATAAAGACTGGTCATTGGACAAATTCTGGCCAGAATTGGAACTTGTCTGGTTAAATCTTTGTCTTGCCAGTCATTTTGACCAGTAACCTTGAGCCAGAAATAAGGTATTGTATGACCAAGCTAAAACTTATTTAGGCCTGAAGCACTGGCAAATCACTAATGCAAACCAATAGGATTGATTGAGTCTTATATTGTAAAATTCTACTGTGTAGTCCACCAGATTGTAGGATTTTTTTAGAGTTTTAACATAACTGTTTCTTCATAAGTAAAACAAATACAGTACATGTTTCTATGGCAATCAGTGTAACTATGACAAAATGATCAAGTCACAAGAGTAGCTTTAATGCTAATACAGCAAACTAGCTCTTCCAAACCAAGAGGTTCATCATCTTGCCATGTGTACTGTTTTACCTCTGTTTAAAAAAGTGAGGTTGAACTTGACAAATACTTACAGAAAGCACATGAAAATGCCAGGTTCAAGCCGCTCCATTGAAAAACTTTTGTGTTTAAGTTTTTTTCTATTTACTTGATTGGGAAACATCACTTGTGATAACAGAAGGAAGTTTGGTACATGTCAGCTATCTGACTTGATTTACTTACTTTCTGAACCCCATGAATAATTTCCAGTATCAAGTCTTAAGGCTCGGAACTTCTTGTTTCCACCCATGGTTCTGACAGGGTGAATACGCTTAGCACCAATCTGGAAGAAATGCGCAAAGTTTATAGTTATTGTAATGAAACTTTCGCTGCTCCAATTTCGAAATTCATTTGCAAATTCCCAAGTTGCTTTAAACTTGCAAACTATTGTGTAGACTATGTCTATAAATCAAATATTTACTGGAATTGGATCTTTAAACCAAAGTTCAATAAAATTAATATTATGCATAGTGGTCTAGAGTTGGTTTAAAAAACACAATGTATATAGGCAAAAGATGTTTGCACCTGATGTTTATACTTGATGCTAATGCACAATGCACTTTGTTCACTATCTCAGAAAAGATCTATTAGTTGTTAGTATAAACCTAATGGTCTATCATGAATACTGTGCTCTGATTGGCTGAGCTACCAAATGTCTATTAGTGATGGACCACCAGTAGCAAAAAGTAGAAGTGTTGGTTTTGAAAAAATTATTTCAACCTAATTTCAACATTGTATTCATTTATTTGAGCAAATAGGAGGCTTATACTAAAACAATTAGACCTATCTCCCTCATGGTCTACAAGGTAATAGCCCATTCAGCCTTCTGCCTAATTGGCTGTTGACTCATAGACCATTTGGGCTCCAGGTTTAATTGTTAAGTGGAGGTGGGTGTAAATGATATGCAAGTATTTATATGTGCAATATATAATTGGACAACCAGCTACCTTGAATATCTAACACCTCTATGATTGCAATCATATTTTGGTTTTTACACATGTGAAATTTAGTTTAGTATTTCAACTAACCTTGGTGTTTGCAGGAGGTCGGCCTAACTCAAACTTCCTCTTTTTCCTGAGGGGCTTCATTTTGCCACCAGTCTGGCGGCGCTTGTGCCAGGAGTCCCTTGAGATCCCTAAAAAGAATTATAAAGGACAAATTAATGCATTGTATAGGAAATGTTCAAGACCAAGAATTATGGACGTATCTATCAAATGGCAGGTACTGATCACTTTGGAGGAAAAAGCAATGAATTCTGGTGAATTCTAGAGCTAATTATGTGTATGTTTCCTCTAGATTAATCTTCACTGCATACATGTTTACAGGTTTTCTTCTATGCTAACGGTTTCTCTAATTTACTAAAGAAACTATGTCGATATGAATAATGATTTTCGTGTTCTATTGTGTTCTATTAATACAAAATCATGGATGTAATTCTTCCACACGTGAAAGATTCGAACACATGAAAGATTAAAATAGAGAGACTTTAGGTATTACTTATCAATAAAAATAATAAAATGGGTAATTTAAGATTCAGTACTTAACAATAATAAAATCGTAATGAAAGCAATATGAGAAAAAGTTTGGACAACAGAGAGGCAAGAGATTATGGCGATCATTCCAAGAACATAACAGGGTAACTTCAAAACTGTTTTCGAATTCCATCCAAGGCATTTTAATCAAAATAATAAGCTTATTTGATAATTTAGACACTAAAGTCTTTATTATCGTTAGAAATACGGTTCGATGAGCAATTTTATCCATAGATTATAAAAGATATTAAACGCTTCTTCTTGTTTTACTCACCCATTTTGGATTTGCTGGCGAAGAGAGAGAGAACGTGAACGAGGAGGACTGGTAAGGAAACTCTCCCAAATGCATTATGGGGGAATATAAAATTGCTTTTTATGGGGGGTAGGGTACATAGCTGATTGAGTAAGTCAGTTGTTATAAAAATGAAATCATGAACGTACTGCGCGTCTTTTGCGATTTATATTTACAGCAAAAATTTCTTTTTTGATATTTATTATTAATCAAATATACAGTTCATCCCAAAAAATCTGCGTAGATGTTTTGCAAATCTTATGCAAAGGCTTAGGAGCTTTTAAGAAATGATATTTTTTTCTTTTCTTCCCAATTCTTAAGGATAGAATTTAACGTTTTCAACCTTTTTTGTACACGATTTTTGAAGATATTTTCCATCGCAGTCCCACTAGGGTGGACACGGGTTTTTTTTGACACTCTGTCCAGGCCTCTTCACGTGCGCACGGTCAACAATCCCGCCGTCTTTCGGATTTCCTGGAAGACGACAAAACAGCAAGTTTCCCAGAAGTAACACTTCCTCCATTTTATTCCTAAGAAAGCCATATAAGATGGACTAAACAGTGCAAGTGCAGATATACTGGAGGTGCTTTACGGTTTATAAAAATGGATGAGCTTAAAAAAAAGACAGAAACAATGCTGAGGGCTGTGTTAATCAGCAGTCCTCGTGGAGTACCTCTTTACAGGGTCGAGAAAGAGTACAGAAGCATCACTTTTGAGCCCATCCCATACTCAAAATTAGGATTTACAAACCTAGAGGGCTTCTTAAAGAGTATACCACACGTTGCTAGTATCCAGAGAGGCAGTGATGGCGAGGTCGTAGTGAAGGGAGTTGCCTCTGAAGCCGATCAACACGTAGCCAAACTCATAGCTAAGCAGAAGAAACCTAAAATCAGGAAGTCAGCTGCAAGACCAAGGAAGCCAGTTTTTGCTTTTTCAGCGACTCCAAATAAATATCGTAGTACTAATTTTGGACCAAGGTCTCAAAATTTTGCTCCAAAGTCTTTAATTCAGAATAATACGTCAACTTTTGGTGGAAATCGGGGCCAAACACCAAGGTTTGTTCCTCCAAGGTTGAGGAAGGTTTTTGGAGCAGACAGTCAACCTGCAGCTAATCAACAACCTGTTAATGGTACTCGGCGTGTTTCTACAGGTATGGAAATACATTTGTTAATAACAGGTGCTTAATTATTAATGTTGCTATTTGCAATCGAGCTTTTTTGAATCAAAATGCAGGGCTTCAGCTCATGTCTTGCTGTAAATATGCAGTTGAAGAAATCGGAAGGCTGAGTGCGTTGAAATTTATATTGAGAATGGTTTCTAAAAATCACAGCATTGCTTGGTATCAATCGGTTGAATGAGTATGAGGCCGTAAGAAGCAACAATGCTCTCCAGGCCCCTTTGGCCCCTCTGGCTATGTTCCTGCCTTGTGTAGTAGAGCAAGATTGTAAGTTGCACAGATGTTAATGGGACACATGAAATATGCTTGATAGGGATCTCAAAGCAATATGCAAGACTTTGTATAGTGTTGTATGCACTATTTTTACGCATTCCCAGTAGCATCCATGGGTTGAACCAAGGAAGTACTTGGTACCTGTGAATTAATCCACTTCCTGTATAAAATTATCTCTAAAATGTGAGGAATAACATGCCTGAGAGTATTACACAGTTACTTGGTAGAAGTCAAGTTCCAAAGGAAGATGTAGTTTTTTTTGGAAAGTTAGTAGGAATAGCTGTGGTTTGTTTTAAAAAAAACCTGGTTCTATAATATACAGATAGGTTTGTCAGTAGACGGAAGCAAGATGTACAGAAAGCAAGTATGGCAGGCAGAGCTAGACAAAGAGTAATAGGTTAGTTAAGAAGTTAATACTAAATAAATATAGTTTGGTAATGGTTTTAATACTATTTACTTAAGTTTTGAACTAGAGTACTAACACTTAAGTTTCCAACACTTTGCACTATTTAGTTGTAAATAGTGCTAATTAAACAATAGAAAACAATAGGATTAACATAATTTAGCAGTATTTAATGGTATTTATGTTACACATCTTATAGTRTTTGTACTCTATTGTTTGCTAAAAAAAATATTTGATTTATTGCAGGAAAATACTTTCGTAGAAAAATATTTCAGGAAAGATTTAGGATCAAAGTTTATTTGTTTTTCCAATGAAACATGTTTCAAGCCAGTTGTCATTCTCTTGATTCTTGTTACTTCCTCTACTTTCAACTTTTGACAGGTTGCACTAATTTGGATGTAACTGAATCTCAGGTGAAAGCCAGAGAAACTGGAAATAATTTTCACATCAAATGAGAGACATAACAAACTCTACTCAATTGTTGGTACTGAACAAAGAAATGACATTCAAGGGAATGACACATGGTTTGATATGAGAAAACATTAGGTTTATTTTATTATACTGTATTGTTGATGAGAGTAGTATTTATCAATAACAGGTTTTTCATTTTTTACCAGATGATCAGAAACAAAAGAGTAATCCATCCCAAATCTCACAGCGAATAGTAAAAAGTAAAGGTAAGTGTTTATACATGTAGGTATGACAATCCTCTATATTAGTTGACAAAATAATTTTATCATACATGTAAATTGTGATATGCATTATCAAAGCTTTTAGTATTCTCTCATTGCTAGGTTTTATTTGATATCATATCTTGTCTTTTGTGGAATGTTCATCAGCTGAATCACAAGTTTTCAATAGAATTCTTTCTGGTTGACACCACATCATTGTCAACAGAATTCTTTCTGGTTGACACCACATCATTGTCAGTGTTTGACCACCATTTGGAGCACAGGAGATAATGAGATTCAAAGACTTTTATCAGCTGATTGAAACCCAGCAATAATTCAAAATTATGAGCTTGAGCTGCCATTTTGAGCTGTCATTTCCTGGTGGCATGTTAAAAGAAAATATATCCATTTGCAGTTGTCGCTTAGCATTTGGCTTGTGATTTTGACCTTTTCCTCAGGTTTGATTACCACATCATCGTAATTTCGTCAGATAGATAAGGAACTTTTTTATATTATATTTTTTTCATCCTTTTGACCTGACATGCTGGGATTTATCACAAGGGTGTATAAAAAACCAAATTGTGCAGGGATTTTTAATGCTAAAAAATGTTAACCAGGGCCCGGTTGTCAAAGAGTGGATAGAGCTATCTAGAGCTATTTATCCACTGGATAAGATTTATCCCTTGCATAGTGCTATTTTCACCCTTTATACAACCAGACCGAGATGGTTWAAAAAAATTTTTTTTTTCAGGGCCTAATTTTCAAGGAATGGAAGTAACATTGGACAATAAACCTACTTCACCTCAGACTAAAACTCCACCAAGTACTATTCCAACAGGTAAATAATTTTCTGTGATCTATAACTCAGAACTTGCAAGTTAGGATATTTATRCATTTTTATTTTGTTTTTCATTTTTCAGTTACTCTAAGCCCAGAAGTACTAAAAAATATAGGACAGGTAATATTAGTGGAAGTATAATTATATCTGTTGTCTAAACTCTTGTAAGTTGATGATGTTCTGATATTATATTGCTTGGTTTTACCTGACATAATTTCATGTCTCGCATGGAATACTTATCACTTTGATGGTAATTAAATTGTCAATAGCATTTTTTCTGGTTGACAGAACATGGTGTTCAGGTATGACCACTATATGCAGAGCAGATAATGAAAATTGAAGTCCTTTAGCACATGAATAAAATCCTCTAAATTAATACCCCATCCCTTTCTAACCTGGCTTTATGTTTCAAGATTGTAGGTGCCAAACCCAACGGGCTGTTCCTCTCAAGATTATCAGTGGAATATAAGAACAAGTTTGGTCAAGAATTACCAGACAATTTAACAGAAACATTACTTCTTCATCCAGAAGTGTTGCGGGTTGAAAAGATGTAAATATACACTAAAAACTAATGCTATAGTTTGAAACGCTTGTTATATTAAATATGGGTTTGGCACCAATTACAAATTTTGTAAATAAAAGACTTTTATATGAATTTACATTTACCACTTAATTAACCATTATTATGAGGGTAAGATACTGTAAGGATGGACTTAACTTGATTATGGTATAGTATCAGACAGATGGAATGACTGATGGATGGGCTGATTGACTGATGGAGTGAATGAATGATGGATTGACTGACTGATGGATGGACTGATTGACTGATGGATGGATAGGCTGATTGACTGATGGATGGATGCATTGGATTGATTGACTGATGAATGGCTGAGCTGATTGACTGATGGATGGATGGACTGATGGATGAGCTGACTGATGGATGGATGGGCTGATTGACTGATGGATGTGCTGACTGATGGATGGACTGATGGATGAGCTGACTGATGGATGGACTGATGGATGGACTGATGGATGAACTGACTGATGGATGGACTTACTGATGGATCGACTGACTGATTGTTATAGTAATGATCAAATGACTGACTGACTTAGATGTGAAGACTAGCTTTGAAAAATAGACCTTTGATGATGATGATAATGATAATATTCAGAAGGTAGTCAAAACAAAATTTTCTTATGAAAGTACTATAATAATAATCATGTTTATTGTATTGTATATTTTTCCTAGGCATCAAAATGTGTATATTGCCTATCCACCTAAGGTGAGTATTTTACATATATTTTTTGTTTTAAGGGGGGAGGAGTAAAATGCATCTTCAATTTTTATGCTAACATTGACATTTATTTTTATATGTTTTTATTAAAACCATGACATTTTTTGTTCATTTTGCATTTATTTAGAAATCTGAACCACCAACAAGTGAAAGTGTAAAAGAAATAAATGGTAGGTTCATATTCCCCCAAATTTTGACTTTCTGTTTTTATTTTATTTTACTCAATAAATATTTTGCTTTCTGTTTTTGATGTTACTCAAGAAATATTTTGTTTATTCTCTAAATTAGATAAAACAAAACAGAACAAGGAAGAAAAGAAACAAAAAGTAGAGCTATATATCGTGAAGCCATTTACTGTTCCAAATGTAGGGTAAGTTTTATTTTATTTTTAAAATCAGGGTAAGTTTTATTTTATTCTTTCAATTCAAAACTGTTTGTAACCAAGTATGGCTATGTTGTTAGTAAGTGCACTGACTGTTGAGTGAGAAACCCCAAATAGAATCCTCTTAAAATTATCTGGAATGGATGATAGCATGAAGTACATAAGAAATGTCACAAATTCCACCAAGAAAACTTGTTTTCATGTAAGCTCACATCCAAAATAATTTTGAGAGATACTTTGAATTGATTCCAAAGGTTGGGATGTAGTTAAATATACTTACTGCAATATACATTTCTGGATTGTGTAGTTCCAGAAATTATTCATGAATTATTCATTTATTTTAATTTTAAAATAACCAGCATTTGTTTGAAATGCAGGTCTTCAGTTCAAGTTTACCTGAGCCATGTCGAAAGTGTTGGTAATTTTTTTGTTCAATATAAAGAGTGTGAAGATAGGATCCAAGACTTGCAAACTAAATTGGATCAGGATTTCAAGGTATGATGCTAGCTGCATAACAGTATTTTTTGAGAATTTTTGATTTTTAGGTCAATTGTAGTGATTGGGAGGAAGGCGAAGAGCTGTCCAGCACTATATAGGGAGGGGTATAAAGAGGGTCTGACCAAGGCATGTTTTTGGGACTCTTAAAAATTTATTGGTTGGTGTGTTATGTCACATTTTAAACTGTAAAAGATTACTTGTTTGATATATTAAAGCTTTCTTTATTGCTGTATAAAACGCACTCAACTTCACACACACTTCAACTTGACGACTCAACCAACAACTACGATAGTCGTCACCGAAAACTGACTCCATCAAAGTGTACCCGTCTGTTAGGTCACGAACTAGTACGGTCTTGCCTTACTTTTAAGAATGTATGATGTAATAGTATTGTGACCAGAGATATGTAATAGCAGACCCAAGAATGCTCTCTTGAGATACAATGTGTTTAAAATACTCGAGAAAATACATCAACTTTATTCGTTCTAATCTAGTTTATTGTCATTCACTGCTATATAAGTAGTCGTTCAAGTATTTGTACAAGTACAAGTCGTAACACATCAACTATATTTCCCTATGAAAATTACAATCTCTACAAAACTAACACATGTTTGATAGTCCCCCTCCAAACATAATAGTTTGTGTCCCACTCCCCATCATCCCCAGAATGGCAGAATATTTTATGAATATAAAATATTCAAATATAACATGTTCCCCTTTAATCTATAATAATAATAATAATAACAACTTTATTAGACAGGGTAACACCGTTAACATAAATGATAATTTTCAGGTGGCCCTCTATAGCACTTAAGTGATGCTCCCCCAACCCATTTAATGATGAACAGTCCCACTTGATACTGAAATTACCTGAAAATACGAAAAATGTAAAAGTTTGGTCTCAGTTATGGAAAAGGTATTGAACTCAAACCCACATTGTGACTTTTTTCCAGGACACAACAGATTTTATTACAAAACCCATTCCTGGGATGTACTGCTGTGCTAAATTTTCATTGGACGATTCCTGGTACAGAGGAAAAATATTACAATGCATTGATGAAAAAGACACACTCACTGTAGAGATATTCTATGTTGATTTTGGAAACTCTGAGTGGTTGCCAAGTTCAAGGCTGCAACACTTGAAGAAGGAACACGTGGAATTACCTCAAATGGCTGTACATTGTTCTTTAGATGGGAAAGAAAACTTTAATCCTTCTATGACAGAGACATTAAAAACATTTATAGATACAGAATTAAAAATGACTTTGGTTCGAAGAATTGGTGATGTTCTTTGTGTACGGCTGGCTGATGAAGAAGGGGCTGATGTTGCAGTAAAATTTGATAGTAAAAAACCATCAAAGCACATCAGTAGTGAAGAAAAGCTACCAGTACCTGCTGAAGATAATGTTACTACAACTAACGTTGTACAACCTTCAAGGTAAATGGTCCATGTTGTTGAGTTGTGAGAGAAGGAATTGCAGACAACAACAGGTGTTCAGTGGACAATGTCCAAGCAAAATTTGCACTTGTCTGGTAAATCACCATATAGGCTGGTCTGACCAGACACATTGGCTGGTCAGATGTTCATCCAATGAACAGAAAAGGGTATACCAATAAGGGGGTGACATATAATCATGAAGTGCATTATTGTTATTTGAATTGCTAATCAGAAATACAACCAAGGCTCATTACAGCAGTTTTCGATATTCTGTGACAGATATTTCATTACAGCTTTGTGCGAAAATTTTTAGTTTTTACTGCTGTGTATCACGTCAAAGATACACAAGGTACTGACTGAATATTTTTGATTGATGGCAGCGAAAAAACTAATTGCAGTGTTCAACTCGCATTTACCAGAGTATTGAAAACTGCAGTAGCATCACAATTTCCCCTTCTACTTGCCCTTCCCCTCTAACAAATAAACCCATCTTACAGTATATGCTCACATTTAATCTTATTTAATGCTGTCTTTATCTGGTTTTAGTCCACCAGCAGTTGAACAGAAGAAGCCTGTCAAACCATTTCTCAGATCTAAGTCTATGACCAATGAACAAGAAAAGAAGATTCCTGGTAAGATTTTTAATAAACTTAGCTAAAGATTATGATACTATGAATACTCTATTTTTTTATGTTTTGATTTTGGATAGGCCAGGTTAGGGACTATACCCATTTGTTTTGGATATGTTCTGCAGTTGGATGGAAAAGCGATAGCGTTTGGAAATAGTGGAGTCTGGAAGAAGACTTAGTGGGGCAGGAAAAGCAAGGGCAGATCTAGAAATTTTTGAAATGGGAGTCCAAACATTGAAAGGGGGGTCCAAATGTTGAGAGAGGGGTCCAAATATTTAGAGAGAGTCCGAATGTTAAGAGGGGGGGGGGGGTGCAAACATTGAGAGGGAGGTCCAGACATTGAGAGGGGGTCCAAAGATTGAGTGGTTTCAAATGTCGAGAGAGGAGTCCAAACATTGAGGGGTGTCCAAATGTTTAGAGAGGGGTCCAAGTGTTGAGAGGGAGGTCCAAACATTGAGAGGGAGGTCCAGTCATTGAGAGGGGGGTCAAAAGATTGAGTGGGTTCAAATGTTGAGAGAGGGGTCCAAGCATTAAGAGGGGGTCCCAATGTTGAGAGGGAGGGCCAGACACTGAGAGGGAGGTGCAGACGTTGAGAGGGAGGTCCAGACATTGAGAGGGAAGTCCCAACGTTAAGAGGGAGGTCAAGACATTGAGAGGGGATCAAACAGACCATCCACATGGATCTAACCTTTAAGATTAAGGCACATGTTATTTTTGGTTGGTTATGGCTGGCACGGGAATAAAATAAAATTTGAAGCTTGGCCAGCTGTGGCTGCTGTGGAAATCAAAGGGTTAATGTAAATTTTAGATGCAAAACACATATCAAAAATTCCAATATTTTTCATTTTTTATTTCAGAGCGAGTGGTCATCCCAAATGAAGATTACATTGATATTCTTGTTTTCAATGTCTTCAGCACTGATAACATTAATGTTTTGTTATATGGCGAAGAATACTCCGTATGTATACTAAATTTAACTCTTTTTTTATTGTGGAAAACTAGTGAAAACTAGTGTAAACTGCGTCGGAGTTTTCAGTAAAACAGTTGATAGATAGATAATTTGTAACACCGTATGGTATGTAAAAATGAAACTGACGTTTCGGACGTTAGTCCTTCATCGGAGTAAACGATGAAGGACTAATGTCCGAAACGTCAGTTTCATTTTTACATACCATACGGTGTTACAAATTATCTATCTATCTTTTTTTATTGTTTAACTCTCTTTTAAGTTGTAGAATAGGACACTTGCATTATAGCATCATTAACTACCACTGCCAGACTCCCTCAAACACTTTTTTTGTTGAGTTATATTAGCACCAGTTGTCTTACTATTCTCATGAGGAAATAATATTTTTTAGTCTGTTATCTTGACAATATTGTCCACAATAGCTCCTGTTAGTAAAATCGATTGCTTTCAGGGTTTGCAGGTGGACTATGATAAAATGTTTACATGTACTCTATCTTTGTCAGACAGTCTGTTTTCCTGGCTGATCTGATGACAAAGGAGTACAACAGATATTCATATATAAAAATATCTTATGCTTGTTCAAGAAATTTCAAGTTTACAGTCATTCTCAATGACATGCATAAGATCTCTTGGTCACAACAATGTAGGTTTTGGTGGACGTCAATCAAGGCATTTCCATGCACTCCATAGGCATGTGTCCTTAAAAGCTTTGTGTTTCCTGACAGTGTCATGAAAACCCTTTTGATTGGCACCTATTTTGTTTTGATGGCAAATTGTATAATTTTGTGCTTGCTATTGAGAACAACTGTTTTCTGTAGCTTCATGAATGAGGCAAGTTACTTATTGAAATATTTTTGAAATACAGGATAAGTTGCTTGCTTTGGAAGTAAGCCTTATGTCTTACTTCTCTGAGTCCTGTGAAGGTTTGTTAGCCATCCCTTTTATTACTCTTGTTTATCGTTCCATCCATAGATCTGTTAGTCCAACAAAAAATTCAGTTTTCCATCCATCTATTCAACTATCTAATATCTAATATATCCAACCATCTATCCATCCAGTCTATCTCCTCTCCTCTCATCTAACCAGCCATTTTATCCAATCTATCTCAACCCATCCTATCTTACCATTCATCCCATTTGGCCATCCCATCCTATCTATTTATCCTATTCAAATTATCCCATGCCATCCATTTGTTCTATCCCATTACATCCATCAATACTCCCTCTAACCCACTCACACATTCATTCATCCAGTCCTTTGCGGGAAGAAAAACGTCAATCTAAAACTCTCTATTGTGATTCAATTCTTACGTTCGCAGATTCTCCATCATCACCCAAAGCAGGTGAGATATGGGCACTAAAGACCAATGAACTCCATTCAGAGGACCAGTGGTACAGAGTTAAAGTATTATCCATTAAAGGTGACCAGGCACAGCTAGAGTTTGTTGATTATGGTGATACCAGGCAAGCAGCTGTTTCTGACTTAAAGGCCTTACCAGCAAGATTCCTGGATCTACCCTTCCAAGTAAGTTGAACTTACTATAAGTGTAAATACCACTTTCATTGACTACAGACTCATTTGTACAGATTTAGCCTCCATTAAGAGAATATCATTTGTCAAAGTTATTTTAATGGAAAGAGTGAGTAGGTGAACAATAAAAATGTGGTTGAATCCCACCTAGATATTTACTGGTGTCTATAGATAACTTGTGAAGGGAGTTAAAACTGCAGATGAATGTAAATAAACAGGAAAGAGAACCATTTATTTGTTGGTTTGATGTTTAATTAATTCTCTTTCTCTTCTCTTATTCCCTCGTCTTTTCTCTCCCCTCTCTGCCTCTCCTCCTCTCCTCTTTTTTTGTTTTCACTCTGAAACAAATACTGATTCCCATTCATTCATCTTTTCTGTCATTCCTTTAATTATCTTCCTACAGTACCTGAAGTCAACCATTCTTTCCAAAAGCAACTTGGCATTTTTCAACTCAAATCCTTTTGTTTCAGGCAGTTACTTTATCTTTGAATAACATCCCAAAGACAAAGAAAAAAGAGGTGCTGGATAAACTCAAACAGCATGTACTTGAAAAACCATTAGTGGCAGAAGTTATACAAAGGTTTGATGGTGCTTTCTATTCTGTGTAACAGCATCATTTTATTTTATTTCTTAATTAGTTAGGCTCAGCATCGCATGTGATTAGAGTAGTAGAGTTTGTAAGGTTGCTCCTTTGAGTCAAGTTCCTCTAGTTTTCTTTCCTCTAAAACATTTACTGGCTAAATTACAGTTCAATCTGTAAGTTAACCACATATTGACTTTGATCAGCCCAGAGGTTGTTTCAGGGTTCAATCTGTGAGTTGGCCCTGGCTGATCAACCCAAAGGTTGTTTTAAGAGTGTCAATAAAATTTAATCCTTGTCCACAACAGCTCCTGTTAGTAAAATCCATTGCTATCAGGGTTTGCAGGTGGACTATAATAAAATGTTTGCATGTACTCTATATCTTTGTCAGACAGTCTGTTTTCCTGGCTGATCTGATGACAAAGGAGTACAACAATATTATATTTTGCTACTCACTCACTTCTATTCATTATATTTTGCCCTTTAGATTATATATTTATATTTTGTCTTTTAAATTATTACTCTCTGCATTTCCCTTTTCCTTCCTTCTTCCCCTTAACTAAAATTGTATTTTGATTTTTCGAGTCTTTTAACCTTAAGGACACATATAATGAGAGCTTTTATTGTCATCCTTGGTATTACCATCCTTGATTGAATACCAGTTTGTGCTTTTGCAAGCCCTAAATACTATTTTATTTCTTTCTGTAGAACCCAAGACAAGCTATCAGTAGAACTGTTTGACACCTCGACAGAAACTGATATCAACATCAATGAGATAATGYGCTCACTTATTCTACCAGATGAGGACCTCGCACCTGCTCTACCAAAGGTAAGTCCATTCTTCCATTCTTGACTTGTTTACCTTGCTTTGTGGTCTTGGATTAAAGAGTTCTTTTCAAGAGTTCTTGAGGCCACGCAGGAGAACAGGGCTCAAGATAACAGCTGGCCATTGGCCAATGTCTGGCCAGAACTGAAACTTGTCTGGTCAAATCATTTGGACCAGTAACTTTAAGCCAGAAATGACCAAGCTAAAACTAATTTGTCCGATGATTATGACTTGCAACTGACCAGCCATTATTTTAAGTGTTGGACAAAAGGCACTATGGGTGGGGTGGGGTGCAATTATTTTAAATCCAGCAGTCTTAAATTGTGGTCTTAAAGACATTTGGTATATTAAGGCTGGCCAACAAGTAAATGTGGCAGTATCTCACATATCGGACACTGGTGCTGTATATGTACAAATACCTGGAGCAGGTCTGTCTCGTCTGGAGGAACTAATGACTGACATCACAGAACACTACAACTCAAAGGTAACCTCAATTTAACCTAGAAATCATTGATATTACAGTAAAGGTCTATTCAAAAGGCATACACATCCACTATTTGGCAAAGACTGAACAGTTTTCTGGATAACCACTAATAAGTGCTTGCAATATATCCAGATTTTAAAAAAAATTACTGTTACATCAGATTCCCAGGATAACAGAAACTGGTATCCATTGAACTAACATTAGTAGGTGTGGCCACAGAGGGATTTTAACACTCCCATTTATGGTGGCTACACACTAGTACTCTAATGAGATTCCCAGGATATTGGATGCCTAGTGGCTGAATAAATATTATTGGGTGTGGCAATAGGGGATTTTAAYGCTCCCATTTATGGTGGCTACACCCCTACAATGAATTCAGAACAACTCTAACAAGATTTCCAGGATATCAGGTGCCTAGTGGCTGAATTAATATTAGTAGGTGTGGCAATAGGGGATTTTAACACTCCCATTTATGGTGGCTACACACTATTACAACTAAGTAAGAACAACTCTAATGAGATTTCCAGGATATTATATGCCTAGAGTGGCTAATTGGTGTACTTTGCAACTCTTATGTAGTTCAGTTATTCTTCCCTGAATTATGTTAGTGGTACAGCCAAGAGTTCTAGAACACTAACACTAGTGATGGCTGCAAAGACCCATAGTAGTTAAAAAAAAACTGAGCCAGACATATTTTAAATTACCTTTAATAGTTTTATTATCATTATTTGATTCAAATAGAGTACCAAAGCTGCAGAGTTTGTATCTCAGCCAACTGAGGGTCTCATCTGCTGCGCTAAGTGTTCAGATGGTTCATGGTACAGGGCTCTCATACTGAAGCAGCTACCTGAAAGGATGGTGAAGGTGCAATGTGTGGATTACGGCAACACAGAAATCGTACTGAGAACTGCTCTGAGGGAACCCACTAAAGCTAATGAACATGTTAGCTCATTGCCATTCCAGGTATGAAACACAGACATACATGTACAGTAGATTAAAGACCTTTGAAATTTATCTATACTTAAACAACCTCTGGCCTGATCTAAGTCAGTGCATGGGTATTTATTTATTTATGCCTTTATTAAATAGGGGGGAAATCAAATAAACTACATCTGAGCGATAGTAGTAACTAACTTCAGTTAATTTCCTTGCATTTTTAGGCAGTTGAATGCTGTCTTGGATCAGATTTGGTGAGTATCCATGATTTGGTTAGTAACACACAGGTAGCCCAAACGACAATTACAAAAATCTATTTGACAATAATTATTCATAGAGCGTACTTCTATTATCCAGGATCTAGCAAAATGTTTTTTTTACAATGTTCATAAGTACATATAGTATTGTTCACTATGCCCAGACAACATTCTGTACCTGTAATCTATAATGTCTGGGTTTTTGCCTTACATCAATCCAATTTCTTATTTTGAAAATTGATTGAATGTGTGCAAAGAATATTGAATACAGTAGTAGTGTGTGTGTGTGTGAAAAGTGTCCCCAGTTAGTGCCAAAGTGATAGAATAGATAGATTAAGAGATTTTAAAATATTTTTTTCCTATAAAATTTCATTGGAAGTGTATGTACTGGTACTTCTTACCAAAAGTTTTTTTTCCTTAATGTTAGAATTGGGATGCTGATGAAAATGGGTGTAAAATGTACTTCTCATAAATTTCATTGGAAGTGTACTGGTACTTCCTACCTCCTGACGGTATCCGGTCATTTCGAGACACAGTCGTTTCGAGACAGGTCGTTTCGAGACACTAAGATACAAGTTCGAGACAGGCATATATCCGTTTCGATACACCTCATACACCTCATACACTCTTAGTCAGAACTCTATGATTTTTTCCAAAATCTTTATGTTGGTGTGGTTTCGTTGGTGTATAGTGCATCTAAAATCTTTATTATTATTATCAAGGTAAAAGCATATGAATTATTGAATTTTGAAGCATTTGGTCGGTTGTGCGTCTTTGCTGGTTAGGAGTTTAAAAAAGCCAATAAAGTGCTGTGATTAGGTAGATTTTGATCCGCTTGGAGCTCAAAGCTCGATGAATCTACTGTGATTGGAGTTTTTTTTGACGTGGATCGAATTCATATACTTTCAGCTTGATAAAAATAAAGGTTATACTAGTATATTCTCTAACTTTAATTAGTGTTTCTGATAACGATTTTGAAAAAAATCAGAGTTCTGACTAAGATCTGTTGGTTTTGACGAGTCGAACATTCTTGTTGTCGAGTCAAAATATCTCGTCCGCGTCTAAAGTTTTTGAGCTAGTCGTTTGCGTGTTTCTCTCTCTAAACTTGAATCCCCTTTCATATTTATCTAAAAATTCTTCATAAGGTTTAGAAGATGTGAGTTTCTGATAAAGATTTTGGAAAAAATCATAGTTTTCTGACTAAGATCTGGTAGTTTGACGAGTCGA